AAAAAAAAACAAAACAAAAAACATATAAATAAAACTATAAACGAAAAACGAAAAAAACATATGCAAATATTTGTGAATTTTTATTTCAAAGTTTGGAAATAAAGGAGAAGGTTCGTGGTAAGTGGTAAAATGCCAAGTTTAGAATGGGTAAGAATAATATAATTTATTTCACTGAAATAAATGAGTTGTCTGTCTTGAATTCTGTTCAAAATTGAGTGCCGAAAAAACTGGTTTAAAATCTTTTTATACCACTCAATATTTCGATACCCAGTTATATAATACAACGTGCGAATTGGTCATATATGTATGTAAAAAAATAATTTCAACTGACTGGTCTAAAATAAAAACTTGTCTAAAAATCAAAACTGGTCTAAATTCAAACATCGGTGAAATGCATAAATATATAGAATTTTGTGGTCTGCAACGTAAATTCGGCTGAAGTTTCAAGCTGAAAAACTGGTCTAAAATATTTATAATATTTTTTTGTTTTAATATGTAGTTATTATCATCCAATGCATTGTTGAAACAACAGCAATGAAAAAACACTAGTCTAAAATATAAATGCAATAAAATTAAAAAAATAACATCGTCGTCTAAAGTACAAAATTGCGTATCAAGTTAATGTAAAATCGCGTATGTGAAGTTACCCCAATTTTGCGGTAGAGAATAAAAACAAACCCATTTCAGGATAGTTATTTAAATCGATATTTTGATATGAATGGAAGAGGCTAGATGCCAGAAGATTCTGGTAAACAACTCTCATTTGTGGCACAACCACAACGGCTTTCAGCTCTGAACTAAAGCCAGTCACAATATGTAACCCATCACGGCCGCATCTGTGTAGGTCTGGCCAAAGATTGTGACTTTAGCAGCATTCTGCAATTAAGCTGTCACAACAGCAAAGTGAAGCCAAAAAATCTATGGAAACGACTTTAATAACACTTTTTACCCAGAAATTTTAAAATTTCCGGAAAGCTGTCCCTATTACCCTATTATCAGTAGAGCCGGCCTAAAATAGTTACTGGTATAATATCGCAAAATCTTTAAAGTTTAAATTCAACGGGAAGTAAAACTTTCTACAACGCAGCGATTAAATATATAACTTTCAAAATAAAACTGGCCTAACATACTTTGGATACAGTTTTGCTACAAAAATGGCGCTTAATATTACTATTCACGGTTTAAGGATTGGGTGTATTCTTTTTATTACTAATATAAAAAATAAAAAAAAAATAAAGAAATGTTTACTAAACCGGTCGAAAAATAGTGAATTGAAGGTTGGAAAATGAAGTTTATATCAATTGGGTGTCTTTTAATGAACATACTTTCTCCTAAAGTTTACATACTTAAGTGCTCATGTGGCGAATAAAGAATTTTTCAACTGGTATAAAAACTGGTATAAACACAAAAAAGGTCGGATATAAAATACAAACGTTATAAAATGATCCACAACGGAAAAGCGCACGTAACCGCTGTAAAATCTGGTTTAAAATTTAAAATATCGAAAATGTGTGTCATTGAAATATGCATACTTTCTCAAAAGTTCACTTAAGTGCTTATAGAGCGAAAAAATTATTTTGATGACTAATCGAATAACTGTTATAAACTCTAGCAGCGATCAGAAGAATCATTCTTTAAAAATTTGTATTGAAAAAATAAATCGTAATTCTGTGCCATTGAAATATTTTACTCTTTCGAACTTCGAAATTTTAGCCCATACTTACGCACTTTCCTTTAACTTCGATAAACAATTTAATAATACAACGAATTTTGTTTTATCGCTTAATCATAAATACATTTTTATTTTCGCTAATAATATTTTATATTTGTAAATATTTAGCAGCAAATAAACTTAGCTTAAATTAGTTTCCACTGTAAGCTCTTAAAATAAAATTTAAAAAATATATTTTTGTTCAAGAATTTTCAGGTGAAACGCATGAAAATTAATATTTCGTAACGACAATTTTAATATTTATGTGGTTATTTCTCGTTTATTTAAATAATGCGACATTTTCAAAATAAAAGTTCCGCCTCAAAAAATTTTTTCTTCACGTTTTTAGTATCTTTTATTTTGTTGCTACCATGAAAACGTTTTTTTTTGGTTTTTTTGGTAAAAATTTATTTCTCAAATATTTTTCCCCTCAAAATTTGGACATTAAAGCATTATTTTCGGCCTCTTTTTGATGAAAGCAAATTTATTTTTTTTTTTATATGAAACAATTACAATAAGCCTTCACATAATAGCAAATAACTGAAAATATAAATATGTATCTTTGTATTTTGAATATTTATTAAACATATTAAAAAAAATATGTGTTTTTTCTTGCTCTTTAGCACATTTTACTCATTTCTCAACTCAAGATGCAAAAGCAATATGCTTAAAAATTTCATGCAACACTTTTTAAATCTACATATAATGAAAAGAAACTTGTAAAAAGAAACATAGCTTTTTTTTATTTAAAAATATTTCGTTTTTTGATTTTTTACGAAACAATAGTTTTTTACAAATTAATTTTGCACCTAAAAAAGTTTTAAACATTTTAAATCTATTTTCAAGCATATATATATTTTTTTTTATTTTATACCTATTTCGTGTTTTACGCCGATTCTCTTTAACTTCGCGTCTGTTTTTAAATAGTTTTACATTTTATTCATTAGGGTACTCCATTTCATTTTACTCGTAGTTTTATATCAGTTCATACTTTCGGCTCTAATGTTTCTAGTTCTTGTTGCGGAGTATCATCAGCTCAATAATTACATATGTATATATGTATACATAGATAAATATATTAAGCATAAATAGAATAGTTCATACACACGGGTACATACATACATATTTATATGATGTCAAGAAAGTTAGGATAAGTTAAGAGCGATCAGAGAAAAGTACTACGATCCTACGTACATAATTATATGGCGGCTTGAGTTAATTCTTATGCAGCGATGCATTTAAGTTTAGAGATTAAATAGTTTACTGATTGGTGTTTGAAAATCTACTGCAAACTGATACATATATCTAAATACGTACATATGAATGTGTGTATATACTTAGATCGGTTGAGTATTTAAGGAAGTTTGCTTTGGCTAATACATATAGTGGTACAGAGTCTAATGCGGGATTAAGTGGCTACGTATGCCTGTTAGTTGCAGTTATTGTGGGATGAGTATATGCGTCTATAAATATAAGTTATAAATATGTATTTTTAAGGTAATTTTTATATGTAGACAATTTTAATCTGTTTAAAAAACGCCAACTTGCAATTGAAGAAAAAATAATTTAAAAAAAAAACCTGAACGATTTTTTTGAAAAATTTTTAAAATTAAAAAAAAAATTAAATTTAGATACAGCAGTAATAATAGTTCAGTATTAATTCGAGAAGTATATGCTTTGTCGAATCGACGACGCCAATTTTGATTTTTTCGAAACTGGCCGAAAACTGACATTTTGAATGTTTTTTTTTTTTTAATGTTTTACAACTAAAAGCAAATTAAATTTTTGATTTTGATGGAAAATAGGCTAAATAATGAACATTTTTATTGACTGTGTGCGCAATAGCTTTACAGCTATTATACGTATGCCCGTCGGGATGTACTTCCACGTTTAAATTATTTGCAAAAATAAACTTAGGGAAAATATTGTTGATGTATTTTGGTTTCGGCCCAATTTGGCAAGGGATGACGGAAGTTCGTTCCAAAATACATCATACACCCACCCCGCCGGAAACAACAATAACCAAAAAGAAAATACTTTTCTAATATGTTCAAAAACTAGTAAAAAATATATATACATAAATTTATCGTTCACGATATATTTCAGACAGCCATTTAAACTGGTATTTGACAAAACATTGCAATAAATTTAAGAGCGTCCAATCCAGTACAGAAAACGTGATTTTTCGAACTGGTCGAAAAACTGGTATAACCAAAAGGAAGCGCTCCCTATTTTTTCAAATGAAAAAGCGTTTAAAATCTGGTGTGTACAAAATATTTGCAATAATCGGCCATTGAAATGTACACTTCTTCAAAAACCTTACAATGCGAAAAAATTGATTTTTCGAACTGGTATAAAAACTTGTATAACAAAATAAATAGGGAGTATATTGTAAAAGCCTCCTTAACTGATTCCCAAAGAAAAAGGTCTAAAATCTGGTATAAATTTCAAAATATTGCAATTATGCACTATAGAAATGTGCACAGTTTCTCGAAAGTCTAATCGAAATAATCTGTTGACATTGTGAGCAAAATATTGTTGAAGAAATTAAAAAAAAAAAACAATTACATAAATTTTTTTTTTACAAATTTTAAATAGACAAATATTTAGACAAGATTATAAAAATATAATAAATTTATGAACAATGAAATCTGAAAAATCATGAGTAAAAATTTTTTCGTATTACTTAAATTGATTTTAAACTGGAAAAAAACTCGTGAAAAAAAAATTTATTTTTTCGCTTTTTCAATAGATCTTCAGCTTTTGCATTATCTTAAGCAGTAAAAGCTTATTTTTTAAACGCTTAAACAATTAGCTAGTTATTTCTTTAATAAAAAATATGTTATTCAATAGCTTATGCTGCTTTATCATTCATATTTTAATTGCTTATCGCTGCTGAATACGTTAAAGTTTTTAAACTGTTATTATTTTAATACACATTATTGTGTTTTGCCGTACATAGTAGTAATATCGGACCTATGTATGTACATATTTTATTTAAATAGATATATTATTTTGATGTTATTTATGTAGGTATTTTGCTTTCTTTTAAGCATACATATATTTATTTTTAATATTTCGTAGTGTATGTATATTCATATATACATATTTTTATGAACTTAAAATCTTATCAAAATTATATGCTCCTGTATTTGTATGTACTTATTTTTTCTTATTTTTTTCTTATTATTTATGTATTATTAAAATTTCGTTATTAGCTTATTTGTTGTCTGTATGTTTGCGCATGAGTCCTGTATAAATGACTAATTTTTAAATGGGCATTCTTTTGTAACCGAATTATGCAAATAAGGCATCTACGCAATTAGGATAGAATTTTTATAAGCATGTTGAGAACTGCAGATATAGCAGAGAGTCTCTCGACTTTACCTGTTATTTCGAGAAATTTGTTCTTGAACAAAAATTCTATCGCCTTTTTTCTCAGCGCAATACTTTGATCATTAAAGACAATCTGATATCGCTAAATGTAGCTGTTTTACCAGAACAACCATTGTAATCGACTAGAAAGTTATTTTATGCGTGAAGAGCGCGAATGGCAAAAATAGGAGAGCCTTTGATTGACTTAAGAGCATTACCAGAGATTTGTAAACGCTTAGGACCACTAAGTATTGAGTAAAACTATGAAGAATATATTTTTAGCTGCCCCATGAATGACCAACTGCAGATATATAAAGGAGGGTTATGTACATACGAGTGTATGTAAAAAGAGCACAGCTGCAAGAAGCAATATTACGATAGAAAAAAATTAATTGAAGATATGTATGTCAAGAGGCAGTGGTGTGATGAACCCTCCTTTTTACCACTATCTTCTTGGCCCAATCCGTTATTTCTCGGACTAAAAAAAAAAAAAAAAATTCGCTCAAAGCGAGTGCTTAATCGATTTCAAGTAAAGTCTGGTAAAATCTAGTAAGTGCGGACTTATATGGGATCCCAACAAAATCTTATAAAATGCTATGCTTCGAAAGAATTTGTGATAATAAGTCCGTAGTATAAAAGAAGGAAATTTTGTTAAATAGTCTTCATTCAAAATTCTCAAATAGTCATTACAAGAGTTTCAGAAAGTCATAGTAAGTAGGTTAGTTTGTGGTGGCCCAAGAATTTCTGAAAATAAGTGCTATGTGTTAAACAGGGACCGAGAACGAAAGGTATGATCGAAACTAAATGACGTTCTCGTAGTTTTGTTCCCAACAACGCTTAAAACCTCAAATCAAAATGAAAACAAAACCCTCGGGAATGTTTTCACAACAACGAAAGTGAGAACAAAACTGTCGAAATGCCCTGTGGAACGTTTCCAAAGAGAACAAAATGCGAAGAATTCCTTTGGGAACTTTTCTAAAAGAAAACAAGTCTCCGGAACGTTCTAGCAAAAAAACAAAACGGGAACAAAACTGCAATGAACTTACTTTCGAAGAACCATTTGGGAACTTAAGTCTCAGAAACTTTCTGACAGAGAAGGAAACGGGAACAAATCTTCTCTGAACTATTCGCGAAGAATGGAAGCGACAAATACATTTTTTTCTCTCAGCATTCCATTAGTTTGAACAGTTTGAATATCAAAATTAATCAAATCAGAACTGAAAGATACATAATTAAACAAATTAAGTCCACAAAAGACTTAAGACGCGATCCGTTTTTTTTGCATAGAAAATGAAAAATTGCTCCATAAATGATAAACGATCTGAAGCTTTCTCTGGCTTAGAATTACCATTCACTGAAACGATTTTTCATTCCCAGCAAGCAGACGCCCCGAGTTTTGTCCGCATTTTGTTCTTTACGGAAACGTCTTTTGGTTCTTTTGTGGGAATGTTCTTGTTTTGTAATTAAACCAAAGCCGGAACCCGTTGTCGGTAGTTGGTATTAAAGGAGATTTTGTTAAATAACCTTTAGTCAAGATTCTAAAATGGTCATAACAAAAGCTTCAGAAGGTCATAGGTAAAATTAGTTTAGTTTTTGGTGATCCATCCGAGTCCCGTTGTAATGCTTATTAATTGGCCTATTGTTTAACTAGGAATAAAACCAGTTAGCTAGTCTAACGAGGCATTGTAGTTCGCAGCTTAGGTCGCCGAGCTTAGGTATAACAGACACTCGAAAAAGTGGTGATGGAAGAAACCGCCGCCTATGTCTAGCCCCACCTGGTCAGTGCCCGAAAAGTATTCGCTGGAAAGCTCACACTGCTGGCGTGCGTTCCCATAAGTCAATGGTTCGTAGTAATCCCTATTACCAGTCGGAATTGGGAGTGCTGTTAATATCGATACTGGGCTAAATTTTTCGTGCTCCAGAAGTTAGTTCGGCTTCCCCTCTATATGAAATTCGTCCTAAGTCTAAGTTTGCACGATGCCAGCGATACACCCGCTTCGTGAGTAGAGTTTACTGTGGATGAGCAGCTACCTCACCTTTCAAGTTCATGGCTGAAGCGGCTCGAGACTGTATACATATTTCAGAGACTAAAAAAGTTTTGAACGTTTCGCGTTTTCACGTTGATAGATTTCAGCCGAACCATATCAGTTCTGATGTAAATGTAACTGAAAGAAAAAAACGGGGCGTCTGCAAAAAAAAATCCCAATGCTTTATTGTAGCGATACTAGTAAGCCGCGTCTAAATCTGTTAGTCGATCAATCGCTGTCGCCAAGCTCAACTAACGGTAGGCCCAGCAAACGTGCCGTTTCGAATTGGGTTGAACCAATGTCAGGATCGGGTTGGATAAGTACGAGTTCAGACCTTAATTAGAGCCAGAGTAACACGAGTACCACGCAGCAGCTGAAGCTCTCTGTCTACGATTGTTGGTGGTGATTGGATTCCAATAACGTCATTAATGGTTAATGGCTTGACGGTACGCGCACTGTCGTTTTCAAAGGTTGTTGTAGGTGCGAGTGGAACGTGTCCTTGTATTCGAAAATATGCCTTCTGACGTGCCTGGGAAGAGGGTATGCCTTAAGAAAACGTGTACTTCGATGCTCACTGCGATAGTAGGCAACCAAAAATGTGGTACATGCTGAGTATTAGGTTGTGCTACCTGACTGGGACCATAGATGGAGTTGGCTAAAAATAGGGGTTTGAGAGATTGATTTTCATGTGCGGTGATAGAAGGAGGGTACATATACGGACACTACAAAGTACAAATAATAGGGTAGCTATCACTTTTATAAAACAACTACGCATAATACAATAAATCCAATAACTTTAAAGCGCGCTCACTACTTTGTGTATAATAATGTGAATGTAACACCCTTTATTATCATATAAAGACGATACGACTTATGTATATACACGACTGAGTTAACATGGACGTTCGATTTTGTTTGCTTTCTATTTTTAATATTAATTACTTTCTATCCATTTATGGGGGTGTATTACTCGTATGTATGCGCGCGTGTGTGTGTAAATTACTTTGTGTCTGCGCTTGTGTTGCTGTGTATGCATATCCTTTTCTTTTTTTCTGTGTGTGTGTGTATGTGTCTGGTAGTGCTGACCTTTGTTCACCTGCTCTTATTAAATATTATCCTTCACATGCCTTATCACGTTTATCAACATTTATTATTTTATATTCTTTTTAATTTATCAATCTTGTTGTTGTCTTTCTTTGTTTACTCTTGTTTATCAATGTTGCTGTGTTTGTTTTTAATATCAGTTTTTACGCCTTCTCTTCGGTTTTATTTTAGTTTTTATTTCTAAATATAAATAATTTGCTTTGCTATATTTATGTATGAATTTTGCGTTTGCCATTGCTAAAGCGCGGAACTTTTGTTTGATTATTTACTTTTTGTTTTTTTTTTTTTGCTTTTTTCTGCTTCTAAATTTTAGAATCGTCTTTTTTAGGCTTAAACTGTAGTTTATCATATATTTATTATGTATATTTTGGTGTGTATATTTGTATTCGCATTTGCTTGTTCATTTATGGCCTCTTGGTATATGGATAGCAGCATATTGTATGTAGGTTGGTTGTATAATTTTCATTTTAATATTTCTTTGCTTTTATTTAACTCTATAGTTATTTTTTCCATCCATTTACTGCTTCATCTTCGTATGTCTATTATATATTGCTGTTTGTGAGTCTTGCTTAGACAGCTTAGAGCTTTTTGTACCAGTAGAGATAGTGTTCACCATCCTCGACCATGAGTTCATCAACGCCTGAAAAAGAGTAAAAGAAAACAAAAAAATTATTCGCTTAAGAAAACTCTAAAAACAATCCTGAAAAACTTTAATAATTAAATTAAATTAAATTAAATTAAATAATTAAATCCGAGCGTGGGACAAGAACGAAGTATCTCAGGCAACTTATGTCGACCTTAGAGACGGGCCCTAGTGCCTAAACTCTTGCTATGCAAACAGAGTTTGATGTATTCCACCTCAGCATTCTCCAGCTGCGCCAGCAAAATGACCTATCAAAGCTCCCGTTATTAGCGAAATTTCGGTTTCGGAAGCTTCCTTCGCTGATCCACCACTGTGCATACTCAAGTTTAAGAGTTTTACTTGGTGAGCCCATTTTATGGATGCCTTCTCTATCCAGTTCATCAGACCTGCAGTTACCTGCAATATCACTTAGACTTGGTACGTTTACTGGATATTATTTCCACGAAAACGAAAGGGCAGTGAAACATTTCCCAACTAATTTGTTGTGAACGCAGCGTAAGTGATTCCATAATACTAACTACCGACTAGCTTTTTTTGCTGTCACACACCTGAGCCCTATGTCTACTAACTTTTTTCTATCTGCCATGGTTAAAATTATGGAGAGTTTCCGGCAAAAGTAATATTTTACCGACGCTTCCGTTAAGCACCGACCCTTTCGTGTAGAGACCGGGTCCTCTATCCAACTTGAGTTGATGTGAATGGAAAAGGGAGTGTTTGAGACGGTTTAGATACAAGGAGATCCGTTTTGCCGGGCCTGGAGTGTGAACGTTCAAGAATCTTAAAGTGTCCAAACGGTGAGGTGAGAGTCTGACCGCAGCTTGCGTTCTGGGATCTTAAAATGCTTCCTATTGGCCCGCGCCCTGCCGCAACAATTCCAACCTAATAAGATAATCTTTTGCGGTCAAACTTTTTTCATAATCCATAGGAGGGCTCTTCTCTATTCTAGCCGAACTGAATACATTGTTTGTGTTGCCATGCTGCCTTCTCTTAAGTTGTCTTTTGGTTTGTTAAAATTTTCAGTATTTGATAATCTCATCTCGGCTCTTTAATAAGAGTCTTTGGCTGCTAAAACTGCAAGCCTTTTTGACTAAACAATATTTTTTCCAGTATTATCTGCCTTTTTATGAAGTCGTTCGCGGGTCATATGGTTGGCCCTTTTTCAGGCCTTTGTGCTACTGATTTGGATGCTTCAGTAAATCCAGTAGGATACGTACACCGATTGATCAGATTGCTTTCTAGTAGTTGAAAAGGGGTGAGGGTTTCAGATTCTACTCTTCTATTGGAGTTTACAGGTCCTCAGGGAATAAAAAGATAATGAAGCCTTCCACGTCTCGGCGCGTTTTACTGAACGAATAATGCGGATAGAAGGTGCTCGTATTAAACCGATGGCTGAACCTATTGAAAATCAGAGAAGAATCATGGAAGCTGGAAGAAGCCTAATTTCATCCGTTTACCAACAAAGCGCGTGTTTATAAACGGAATGATTTCTGCTTTCTCTAAGCCCAAGCTCTCCACAAGAACATGACAAGAAAAAGAGTAAAGGACTATTACTTCAGCAAGAACCCACAAGGACTTCGTCGAATTAGTTGAACTGCCAGTTTTCCTTTAGAGGGGAAGTAATTGAAATACCGCGGACAAAAAATTACTTACCGACTGGTGCAATCAGCTGATTACCAGGTGCATTATTGGGATCGGGTAGCTCGGGCAAACGATACAGCAGCCAGTAATTATACCTACAAATACCACGCAATTAGATCAGACAAGATGCTTTCAAAAACGCTCAAAAGGTAACTCACCCCCTTGGCTCCTCCTTTTTTCCAGCCAATGTATGCACATAGTGGCCATTGGGCCATTCGCGCGCCTCGAAAGTAAATCTGTTGGAATAACACATAGTTTTATTCTAGGAAATAAAGATCCCTTCAATTAAATATTCTCAGCTTTTTACCTCGGATCCATTTCGGCAGCTTGTGTCATGGCTCTGAAGAAGCTGGTGTTCTTTGGTGAAATGAGCGAGAGTGAGAATGCTTCCGTCACATTTGAGCCCACCCACAGCGTATATGTATAGGAGACATTCTTCAAGTCCGATTCTTCAGCCGACGATGTCAGTCCGTAGGGCACAGCTAGTTTTGGTTCGCCATTTTCTAATTGTGAGTTTTGTGGTTTTTGCGAATTTTTATTATCAATTGTTTTGTTTGGTTTATTTTTGTTGTTGTGTTTTATCGTAAGGTTTATTTATGTATAGTTTTTATTTTTTAATTTTCATATATGTATTTGAGGAGTGTATTTACTATTATGTTTTAAAGCGTAATAAAAATTCGCTAACTTACCTGAAGCTGGATCGCTGTTCTCGCGTATCACATGATCGCATTGTAGCGCACGCACCGCGCCCAGTCCCTTCCAGCCAAGCGCCAATATTATATCCGCTGTCAAACCAACACCGATGCCAGGATCCTGCCCATCATGCAGTGGTTCTTCAGTCCAACCACCATCCTCGCGCTGTCGACCCAAAATCCATCGCGAAGCAGCAGTGCGATTCCACGAGCCAGCCGGATCATGCTCAAGGTCCTGCAGTGCTTGCATAGCCAGGGCAGTGCTGCGTAGCGAACCGAAACTGCCGCGTGGATCCTGCAAACTGGCCAATCCTCTGGCAGGCCGTCGTACAAAGTGTTGTAGATGGCGATGCCGATGATCGGTCACAATGCAGCGCAGCGCCAATATAACCATCGCAATTGTGTCTACACCTTGGTCCGTTACGCCACTTGCAATATCCAGTAGCCGGCGTATCTGACGCTTGCGCACATGCGCAGCAGCACTACACGCCGACAGCGTGGCCAAGGCGAACTCATTGTCCTGTGCCGGCTCGTGATGCTGTAGCGTGGCGACCAAGTCATGACCGTGGAAATGTTTTGGGTCCTTGCAGAGTGAGCCAAGCGCCAGCACGTAGCGAGCAAGTTTCTCCAGATTCAGCGGTTTCGGCAGCGTGTGATGACGATCAAGCATTGCTAATATCTCAATTTCCATCTCCTTCACGGACAGCGTATCCTCCAGCTCTTGTATCACTTGCAAATGCCCATCGGCATCAGTGGGATCGCGTGCGCCAGACAATTCCTTGGCCAGTATGACGACATGTGTGTCATTGCCCCAACCATAGTCAGCTGCGCGTTTCTCTTTCAACCAATCCAGTGCTTTCAGTATGGCCTCCTGTTCACGCTTGTCCGGGCCCGGTGAGCCGATGATGTCGTGTTCGGGCGTAGTCGTAGCGGCGGTTGTGGTGGTGCTTGGCGTGGATGGTGTCGGAGCGGCAGTGCTGACGGACTCTAAAGCCGTTTCGGCGCCAGCCACGGGCTCTATAGTAGAACCACCGCTAAGTATCGCAAGTGGCGAGGAGGTTGTGGATTGTCCATGCTCATGCCCTGATGACGATGCGATGGTATTGGCGTTCGCTTCGGTTTGAGGAGTGCTGCTCGAGAGCTGGGTGCCCGAGGCGGCACCGATCAGAGTGGGCGCAGCGGTAGCGATAGACGACGAGGCTAGTGTAACGAATACGGAAAGCTGTAGGAAGGCGAGTAACAGAGCGGTAAAGATAACAGAATGATAGCGCATTGAGAGAGAGAGCGGAGAGCTGATACTGCGAGCCATTTTGCTGAAATGAAAGAGAATCAGGTGAATATAAAGCAGAATGTTAGATAAATGGAACTCTTACAAATACAACAGCCGATTAGGGGAACAATTTAAAATAGCATACTTAAGAGTTTTACAAAAAATAATCTGCAAACTTCTAAATGAGTCAGACACCATATCCTCATCGGATCGGTGGAAGTGCCGCCAGTAAGTTTTCCTACGAAACAAAATCCATTTACTACCAACTGAAAACCAAAACTTCATCACCCAAACAGATACCGATTGCCACTGCTCACGTCCAAAACACACAGTCAGCAAAGCACGTAAAATACATGCCCGCGTCACGCAAATAGACGTTCTCCGAACAGACTATCACTACAATGCGGATAAATGATTTTCAACAGCAGCACAGCATTTTAATGTGCTTTCCTCAAAAATAAATAATAATGATATCAAACCTTTTCATATCATTAACCAAAACAATAGCACGCTGAAAATTTATTGGCTGAAACCTTTTGCGGCCGCGTTAGGTGCTAAGTTATTTCCGTTGCTTATGTCCCAAACATATTCCAAGCCCAACTTTGTATGTCATCCGTTCACCCCCCGGCACAGTCGGCTTAGTGAGAAAATTCTGGGAAGGAGACACACTTAAATCGACAACCACAATGACGGCAACGGACGACACCTTCACTGTCACTATTAATCGTCTCATTTCCTCTCCCTCCACCGCAACCGTGCGTACATTCATTCACTTGTTACGAGTATGTCATACGCTTGGTCGCATTGATGCCACTTCCATCATTGTTGATAATGATGGAACATCGGGTTCCGTTTTTGTACGTAGCCACGCGTTTGTAAATGTCACTGCGCATTCGAGCGATGAACGAATAATGTGTTTGTTGAGCAATTGTGTGGGTGGAGATTGGGGGCAGGGGCGATTTGTTGGCGATAGTGATTGCTAAAAATACTTACGATACTTAAACAAATAGTGTTGAGCGGTAGTGCTTTAAGGATTTGTTTAGGGTTGCGCAAGGTAAGTGCTACTTAAATAGAATAGATTTGTGAAAGTAATGGCCATTTTCAACTGAACTAGGCGGCTATGACGCGCTTGTAAATTGGTAAGAGTTCGAGATGGATAACCTGCTTTTCCACCATTCAAACGGACAATTTTATTACTTCAGAAATTCTGAAGTGGTCATTCAAAAAAGAGGGCGAATTTAAGCTAACTATACAGGGGTTGATGTTTGTGTATTTTTTTTGTCCAGGACGCCTTGCAACCAAAAATTGTTTTCTCGATACCAAAAGGCGCTTCTTTACGGACACTTTGGAAGCAAATAAACCTATTGTCCAATATCGAGTCTGAGAACACAAGGCTTTTGGCAGTTATTTCTACTTTCAATGTATGGCTGAAGGAAAAATTTGTGAAGAGTTCCCATAACTACAGAATGTCTAATAACAGGCATTATTCGTAAAAGTTATATTTTTGCACTTCCAAGTATTTCTGTTTAGATGTTTGCGACTTTGAAGACTTAGTGTCCAAAAATCATACGCTGGAAATATTAACGAAAAACTCCAATTACAATTTACAGAGGGCCTAAACCAAGGACCTTATCAAAATATCTCTGGTTTGCAGACACTCCCCTGATCACCGAGAACCTTTGCAAAGCAGATGTGCTATTGTAAGCCAGCCTAGATGCTGAAGTTTTAGAAAAAAAACTGTATCCTACCACAGACTCCGAAAGCTTAGGACAGTGACAGTGAAATTGGTAGAGTTTCCGAAGCAGTGGTTGCTCCCGAAACATCTGGGCTAGGACTGTACATTCAGAATATGGAATCGTGGCAAAAAGTACGTAGAGTTGAAAAGCACAGTAGACGCTGTTCGGAGTTCTAGGTGGTTCGGGATTATGATCTTTACTTTTTCGTTTTCAGGGTCTCTTCAGATTATTTGCGGTTTTCAATCTACATTAAAGTCCATCGTTGTTCGCTTAAAGAGTAGGGATTAGTTTGCGCTACCAGACTAGTCTTAGTCAGTGCGTTTCTAGAGAAATCCTTTGCCTAGGCAAAACTCATGCAGGAATCTGCGGATTTGTTGCATAGTACGCAAGAGAGGGTAACATAAGTATTTTTAAAATCCTACCGAGAAGAAAAAAGTGCTTAAATTATTATCATCGAAGTAATTTAACCGTAGACCCAGAAAACGTAGCTTTTTGAGAGTATCGTGCGATAGGGAAAAGGTCGTTGGATAAGTCGGATTTACATAACGAGTAGACAGTAAATGCCCGACCTGCTCAGCTTTGTTGGCAATAATGGTCTCTTGTTGGCATCCGATCAAGGCTTGCATGGGACGAGAGCGAAGAAGGTGTTAATTACTTCATAAAGAATATCGCTTTAAGAACATTGTAGGACTATGTGTAGAAAGTTTTGTTCTTGGTACAGCGAATTATGCCGCACTGGCGGAGGTATAAGTGGATTGCGCTTAATAGATTTTTAACGTGCACATCTGGTGTCGACCTTCGTGAGACTGTTTTTAATGAAAACGACTGAAGATCGTACTCGATCTTTCTCTACTGTTGCAACAATCAAACACATTTTTCGCCTACTAATACCAGTCCATCAATACCCAATACCAAAAGTATTAATTATTAGCCGAGCTTCTCCCCGATGTGAGGTGGGCATGTATATAAGTACCACGTATTTTAGCGGATAGAACTGCCACGTAAGGTACCGCATCTGTTTAAGGGTACCTTAAGAACTTTGTTTTTGTTGTTGTTGGAGCAGCACTTCTAAGATCCACCTAGTTCGGTTTGTCCATCAATCGTTGTATTAAAGCTCAAGAAACGGTAGACCTAAGAAACGAGCTGTTTCGATGGAGTCGGCCCAAAGGGAGAGGGCTGTTAGCTGAGTGGGATTGAGCTGGTATGTGAAGAGATGGTTGGTGTCGTGGGGGTCTTCATATGCCGGGGATGTTGGGGTGGCTATAAATATCCGGACCGTAACTGGGCCAGAACAACGCGGGTCTCTCTTGACGGTTGAAGCTCCGTCTCTGCTATAGGTGGAGATTGAGCTCTGATCAGCTTCTGATGTGACTGGGCGGGGGCTTCTCCTCGAGCAAGGTTCTGTTGGGATGCTCACGTCTGTGACTTCCCACCAGAAACTGCTTGCTCAGCATTTTGTTATGCTCCCTTATGGCTTCGCTGTGTAGTTGACGCTCAGGCGACAGCAGAAAGTATCCTGTTGCTTCCGAAGTGAGGCGTTCTAACAAGTCTGTAGCTTCGTCCACTGCGTCCAACTCCCCGGCGACCAAACAGGCGCAGCAGGTTGCAGCGGTTGGCGGACGTATTTTTAGAGCAAAGATTTGTCAGTGGTTGTGCCTAGAAAAATGGCTCCGCCTAAACCACTAGTTTACGGGAGCTACGCTTTCAGCTACTGCCTTACTATTTCGCAGAGATTACTCGTTGAGAGTGAAGTTATACCTGCACGTCTTAACTGTGAACTTAACTTTTGACTGTCGGCGGTATATGCCAAAAACAATTCGTTCTGCGCGTCGGAGATAAAATCTTAATTTCGGACTGTTATTTAAAATGTTAGACATTTGATTATTTCTAAATTAATCCTAGTATGTAAGCCTGCCTTGGAAAAGACGGCAATTCTGCCGCTAAGTAAATTATGAAGGTGGCTTCTTGGTAAACTTTAAAACAATACTAAAGGAGACCAAAAAGGCATTCGGACGTTAAAGTTGTAACTAAAATCGGCCTTTGAGTATTGATAAACTCAACTTCTTTGTCTAATTCCTGGTTTAAGTTTACACGCCATTTTTTTTTAGAAACATTTTATGGAATCGTTAATCTTATTACTGCGGAAACAGAAACGCTGAGTTGTTATGGGATTCATTTTTTGTTGTTTGAATCCACTTTACCTTTTACACAATAGAAAATTATCTTTATGTAACTGTATAATCCTATTTATTTCACGATTTTCTTCAATGGCTGACACAAAATCCATAAAATAAGCATTTAGCAATGTCCGGAAGCATTACAACAATCCAGTGAAATTTAATAAGCTTTACGGTCGAACAATTCGAATGCGATTAGCACCGAAAATTGCCGTTATTACACACAACAACGCACACTTTTCCGCAAACGATTGGTTTTTGCGTTTGGCTTTTCCTTAATTTGATAGATTTTTAAATATGTAGCTTGATATTATATTCTCACGCTTGTTTTTCACTTTTCGCGCCGCGTTCGTCGTTATGGGGACAACCGCTGCCGTTGGCGGTGCGCACTAAACAAAACGCAACTCAATGAAGCGATGAAGGAACACTGAACGTTGACCAGCAGTCATCGGTGTCACCATCACCACCGCCTATAATGAAGCTTAAGCAGCAGATATACACACACAAAAAAGAGACGAAGGCGCGCGCATGCACTCCTTCACCCACACAGAGACGCAAGTGCACACACTCGCACCAGCATTCCATATTTTAGAAGACAATTGACATTTGCTGCGACGCGTGTCGCCTCAAATTACTACCCCACTTGGCTTGAATGCCTGACTGCTGAAGTGACGATTAGCGGATGAGTGTGTGGGGGTCAGCTGGTAGCGGTGTAGCGCTACACCGCGCTCCCTCCGCGATGTCAATTGCCAAGTTTGTCGGCGTTTGTGCGGCGAAGCATGTGCAAACACTTTAATCCCTGAAGGTTGCAGTGACAGCAGTTAAAGAAGTAGGTTTTTGTGTTTGGGTCGTCGACTAGTGGTATGTGTGTGTTTTTTTTTTGTTTCGATGTGGACGGACGCATACATATGTACTGATTCTTGGGTGCAGCAAGAGTAGGATAGAGGCACAGCTAGCGCTACACTAACTAACTAATACTAAGGCTATAACGGTACATAAAGTTAATTAGACGTCCGTTAGTCGCACGAACGAACCTATCTATCACGAAACATATGAACGCGTCGTTGAAGGCAGTGGTGAAAATGTAGATGTGTAGAAATATAAAAGTGCATGGATTTAAATCTATTCTTCATTATTTTAGTTTCCTCATTGTGAAATTTTAAAAGCCTAAAAGGGAAGAAAATGGAGTTAAGACTACATCATTGAGGCTATACAAAAAATTGACTTGAGGGAAACTACAAGACTCGATACCTGCCGATGTTGCGACTGAGGTCTCATATACAGCTTGATGCTAAGGGTCTGCATTTCGTTCCGCTTCATTCCATATCATTCCCTTTGATTCATTTTTGTTCCGGCCACTTATTTTTATTCCTCTCTTTCGTTCTGAACCATTTTACTTCGTTCGGTTTTATTTCACCGTTCCACACGTCTTCGTTTCGGTTTAGTTATTTTTTTGAACGAAAGTCTGAAATCAGAAAGTTTCGTTTCGTTTCGTTTCACTCTATTTATTTTTTTATTAATTATTTCATTTTGGTTGAGAAGTTTGAGTAGAGCTTATATATTTAGAACTGTTCCTTTTAACGTCACTTGTTTCATTCGGTTTTGTTCCTTCGTATGCTCCAAATCTATTTATTTGTGGTTCATCCTTTTTATTTGGAACAAAATGGCTTAGGAGTGAATTCTTTTAAATATTGAACTTAACCTCAAAATCAGCCATTTTTTATTTCATTTTGTTTTTCAATTTGTTTGGTTTCATTTTATTTAAATTTTATTATTATTATTTTTTTTAAGGGGCTTATACGAACTTATTAATTAAAAACTTGTCCTTTCAATTTCGTTTTATTTTATTTTACAGCGTTTCTTCTCAAGAAGGCTTTGCATTCAGTACTTAACTGCAAATCAGCCTTTTTAATTCCATTCCATTACCTATTAACCGACTTCAAAAAAGGAGGAGGTTATCAATTCCCCAGAATATTTTTTTTTCTTTCGTTTCATGCCACATCATTTCATTTCTTTGAGGTCCATACGGTACTTTCAAAGTCGTACCATTTCGTTTAAGCAGTTGTGTTTAATTTTACTTCGTTTCATTTCGCATAGTTCCATTCCGTTTTATTTATTTTCATTCTTTTTCATTTAATTTAGGTTCACATTACCATTTAGTCCATTATTTTCTATTTAATTTCGTTTCAGCCAGTTACTGTATAAATCAATCTACTTATTCAAATTATGTCCTTTCGTATTCTTGCGTCTTGTTTCAATCCATTTCATAGCTGTTCGATTTCTTATTATTTAGTAAACTTTGTTTTTAATTCGACGAAATTCCATCCACATATCGATGGCTGAGTGGAAGATCGACCTATCTCGGCAGCCAGTTCGAAAATGCTCTATCTCAAAAAACTTTTCAAGAACGCCCTATTTCAGAATTCGTTTCAAAAACGCCCTATCTCAGCTGCCGATTCAAAAACGCCCTATATCAGCATATTTTCAATACATTTTGAAGTAAGATAGGGCGTTTTTGAACCGAATTTTGAGATAGGGTATTTTTCAATTAAATTCTGAAATAGGGCGTTCTTGAAAAGTTTTGTGAGATAGAGCGTTTTCGAACTGGCTGCCGAGATAGGTCGATCTTCCACTCAGCCATCGATATGTATGCACTTATTATTTCCTTCAGTTCCATTATCACCACATTGTTCTCCACAGCGTAACTTTCCGCCCCCTTCATTCCACCTCACGTGTCTGGAAGATTAGTGTCCGTCATGAGAACAACAAGCTGTCCAATGGGGCGAGTGAGGGTTGTGCACACAATTGCTTCGCTGGCTTCTTAACGAGGTGTGAGACACTTGTTATTACAATTTTGTATTGAATGGCAGCGGGGTGGACAGTTGCGTTAGGGGTTTACTGGTCATTGCTCACTCGTTAAGTCGTACTAATGAAGTGGAAGTACCAGATTGCAATCTAAATACACATTCCCGAGCGCTTGGGAAGAATTCTTGTGACTGAGTGCTATACATATGTACATTTGTAAGTTAATATTCTTTAGAGTATATGCGTGTACATGTTTGCAAGTCTCTGTAGTTACATATGCCGTGTATTGCGTCCAGTATCGTGCACTGAGGCGCTTAAACATATACAGCTTTAGATAAATGGTCATGCAACTTAGATGCGGAATGTTGTTTTATTTTTTTTTTCATATTTTTTCATTACTGCTATTGTTGTTGTGTGACAGTTGCTCTTATTGTAATTGCCATTTACTTGCGTTAAGCAAAGCAACGAACTAATCTCTCGTCTTTATTGTCTGCACTAACGTATGTGAGGTAAGTATTTGTAGGTAGTACGACACTTATTTTCCTACATTTCTCGTTATTTTTATTCTGATTAGTGTTGTCTGTCTTATTAATCACCACAAAGCTATGATTAATCTACTGTGAGTAATAAAAATGAAAAAATAGCGCAATCATAGTAAAAATAAATGTTCTAAATAAAGTAGCAAAGATAGAACTTACACGTAAATTATATAGGCGTGCAAATGGTGGTTCTGAATTAGATTTCTTGTGGCATGTAAGCTTTACAGATGTAGATATGTATTAATATGTGGCAGTAATAATAGTACTTCTTTAATTTTCAGGTTAGACCTCTTTTATACGCAAAATGAGGCTCAAGAAAGCCAAATACTTTCTATATGCAACTTACGATGGCAGTGATGTACACAAAATTTATGTGCAAAAGAAATTGTATTATGCAGCTATCTGAAACTTTAAATCAATTTTCATGAACACTATTTTAAGCATACACAAATATGTATATCGTATTGCTTAAATCATTATCAACTAGGCTTAAAAGCACATGTTATATGATTCCGTGGCGATATACGCGGATCAAATACTGCATCAATCTTCACTTGGCAAACTGCAAATGCATGAATTTCAATTTAGCTAATAAAATAAAATTCTCAAATTTGTGACTTACGATTCTCTTGCAGATATAAAGCGCGATCATACAGTATAATGCTCTCTATAAGCGGTGCAAACATCAAACGAAGCGTATAAAAAATAACGATACGTCGCCAATGACGTAAATCATTTTGTGTTGTGGCAGTTTGCAGCGCAGTACGCTCTAAATGAACAGCTTCTAAGCCTTGTACTGCTTTGTAGTAATAACTATATGCAAACAAATTTTAAATTGCAGTTTAAAAAAAGTTTAACGAAACCCATAACTACGTACTCTTCGAATTCCATACCAGGCACATGCTTGACGCTACGTAGTCCACTATGTTTCAAATGCAACCAATGCTTGACGATTATATGCTCAGCAGCCGCACGAAATGAGTGCACTTTCAAATGCTCATAATCGCCTTTAGCTAGCCGATCGCAATACATTTCCATAGCATGACAGGATATTTCGCGTGCCTCATAGCTCAAGTGTGCCAGTTTGGGTTGCTGTAACAAGTATCGGCTGAGGGGGTATCCCTGCAGCTCCACCTTAGAATGCATCTCCGTGGTACTCAATTTCATATAACAACAGCTGGCGAAATTCAGAAACCGCGCCTGGGGACTATTTATGAACATACGCATCAAAATTACCGCTAAATCGCCACATGGATGGAGACCGATTATGCCAAAAGTAAAGTTGGTGTCTTCCCTCTGCACCGCCTCAGCAATTAGATTGAGAAACTGTTGTGGTTGTATCTCAGCCGTCAGGCATAACGTGACATGCTCCGGACGCCGAAAAGTTGCGCGTTTTACAGCAGGCAAGTGCTTTTCAGCGAACAGCTCAAATTGTTTGTCTATGCAACGAGCTTGTACATTTAGTTCTGGCCGCATCTCTAAGCAACATACACGCCTACTGAAGCCATAACCGAGTATGCGTGCGAGATGCCCTAAACCAGCGCCGAAGTCTATAATGTAGTCAACGGGTGTTTGCTGATAACTATATTCGCAATGCGATGCCATCAACTCTATTTCATGGCGCTTCTTGGGCTTAACACACTTATTAAATACATGTTTCAGCTTGGTATGACTAAGTAGTGGACTGCGGCAAGCGCTCTGGAGTTTAAAGAAAAGCATGAGAGTAATGCAGGTATTTTGGTATAATTTTGATTGCATTACCACTGTGGCAGCATTGCTTTGCTGACTTCTGTCCACGCACACCTCTCGTAATTTGCAGCGTAAGGCTAATAACGCCAATGGCCATACATTGGCATGCTGCTGTTCAGCTATTTCATTGAAATTCAATAGCGTACTAAGTTCTTCGGGTTTCACATGCTCCAAATGTTTCTGCCAACTGCGCGGCAGCTTTTCCCAATGGTTGTCTACATAGAAATCCTAAGTATGAATTGGAAGTGTTAAGACGGACGGTCTTCAGGGCGTTTATAGTTTCCACTTACCAAAATGTATGCATTTATAAGCCAATCATATTGACGCACGATTTGCAAACAATCGTACAATTTTTCTTGCAAATATTCGGATGATGTTGAGCTATCCATGTGAATGATTTTTATGGAGTTGCATTTAATAAGTCTTCTTCACTTTACATTTCCCTACCAAAACTGAAATATATATTCTTTTTTATCATATTTTTTAATTGAGTGCACAGTTAAAGCGGTAATTTTATTTATTTGTACAATCGGACCAACGCAGCAAGCAAAAATCAATAAATGCATGTAAACATAAATCAGCTGATGACGGCGTTACCTATTTCTGTGTGGCCACTTCTCAAAATTAATCAACTAATCGCAACAACTACTTTTTTAACATTTCCTCCCCTTTTGAAATTAACTTTCCTTATTTTATTATTTGTGTATTTCAAAAAAAAAGAACTCTTAAATTGCCTGTTTTTGATGAAAAACACCCCTTATTTGCAAATCGATAATCAAAAAGTGGCAACAATTTTGCGCATGCCAGAGAACGTAAAGTATTACGTTCAGTGTTGCCGTTATTCGACTGTAGGTCCAAATTGACCCTTTTAAAGCGCAAATTCCCTTTGACCCGACTTTTAGAAAATTTGGATTTTTTGACCCTTTACCAAAATTATGTGCGACTTTTCCCCTTTTCAGAGATTTTTAGGAAATGTTAACAGAACAGAACCAGACAAATATTTCCTCCTGTAAGTATGAAAAAATGCGTCACTTAAAAATTTTAAGGGAAATGTAACTCTTTTCGATGTGTGTGTATGTTTGCAACCTGTTTTGTGAAAAGCTTGTCCCGCTATTTTACTTTTAAATTCAACAGATTTATTCTTTTACTAGTAATAAAAAGCAAAGAAATTTTGGTACCTTTTTTCGTCAAAGGCCCCTTTTGCGATTTTCTGAAAACGAAACGGCAGCACTGATTACGTTCTCTGCGCATGCTTTTTTCCTCAGATTTATTTCCTTTTTTGTTGTGCTTGCTCATTTTGTCATTTGACGAGACAAGTTGCCAAGTGGCTACCGTGAACGGCATGTTTTTGCAGAGAGGAAATAAGAAGAAGAATGTTATTTAATTGTAGCTTTCGTTCATTTCCTTTACAATTGAAGAGTATTTTTTTAAATAAACCAGTTTTAAATTGCTTTTATCTGCAAAAACAATGTTCAGATGTAAACCAGTGAAGGGGCAAGCAAAATAGTGCCGATTAACACTGTTGAACGAGCGCCGCAACTAGCTTTTATAATATTCGCTGTAAATGTTTGTGAGTAAACTATTTTTCTTCCACTAGACCTGGCATGCGTGAAATCAGGTAATTGGAGCACAAAGTTCAATAACAAAATACAAAATAATTAAAAATATTAGATTAGAAATTACATTTACGTATGTATATATGTATAAAGTTGTTTTTACTATAGATTACACGCGCATGTACATTGATAATCCAAATATATTGTGAGATTCCAGCAAGTAACAAGTATTCAATAGTAAGCACTGCGCACAAATACAAAAAAAGATAAGTAAAATCATTAAAAATATGTACATTTTGTCTATTCCAGCTAGCTGGCGTAACACAAATTATTGCTACTGAATGGGTAACTTCGCTCCGGGTATGCTGTGTGATTCAGTACTCTTGCGGAGCTCAACCCTCACGGTTTAGATTTTATAACTGAACAAATTCAACTTTTTACATTATTTACACAATTAAGTGCGAGTAAAGTGCAGTATAATAACGAGCGCGGAAATGCCAGCGAATCAAGTAAATCCAGATCTACAAAAGGAACGTGATAAGGCATCCTTTAATACGCAAGAATTCACCGACTGGTGGGTTGGTGGCAAGGACAAGTATGCGGCTAAAAAGAAATTGGGTAAGTTCAATCGGAAACATGGTACGTTTTAAGACATACATTGTATACATATGTATGTATATCCACTTATGAACATGCATTATGCAATTATGCGCTGTTAACCAGTTTTATATCGCTAAAATGAAAGCTTGTCAACACGCTCGCGTGTGCAAATATTTTACATAGCGCTTATATGCGTTTATGCTTATACATATGTATACACGCGTAGTTACATACACATTTTGTTTACTTCCACATCATCTTTATTGTTTGTAAGGGTAAATATTGTCCACTGGGTGTTAATATTTACTTTGTTCATTTAACTAGTGGCGCACTGACCCGCACAACCATTGTTAGCAGGTTTTGGAGTGTTTTCTTGTATTTATTCTGCATTTAAACTAATACACAGTGGCGTATACTTAACTAATTGGATGTATGTCCATTAGACTGCATCACTCCCCATAAAAAAAAATCGGTACTGTTTTTCCACTGGAATTATAAAATCTATTATATTTTAAGACTTTCACCAAAATATCTCGCAAAAATATTAAGATTTACGTGAGCTGGACCGATTTAAAAATACCTCCGAAAATTGAGTTTTTTATTAATAACAGTTAAATATTTTTTGAAAAAGTTACCTCAGATGGCTAAACAGTTTAAGGTTAAAAAATTGCATAAAAAATATTTTTAAAAAATTTTCTGCGGAATCATAATATTGAGATTTTTGATGTTGTTTTTGAATTTTTGGTTTAATTTAGACCTATAATTGGTAATTTATTTTCTCACTCTTTAAATTTCTTTGCGAATAAGCTCAAAGGGTGAGAAAATACCCCTCCACTGATACCTCATAAGTCTATATCGGTAAAGTTTCGGAGCAGTTATTCGAGTTTTTCTTACACAAATTTTTGAATAAAGTTAAAAAAACAGCATCAAAAATCTCATTATTATGATTCCGGTGACAAAAATTTTCATTATTTTTAAGTTTAAACTGTTTTGTCATCTGAGGGGATTTGTTCCAAAAAATCCTATAAGACACTATTTTTTATTAATAAAAAACTCCAGCTCACGTAAATCTTAATATTTTTCCGTAATATTTTGGTAAAGTCTTAAAATATACTAGATTTTGTAATCCCGCGTGAAAAACCGCAACTTTTTTTGGTGATGCAGTCTAATGTCCATACATACATACATATGTATGTGCATACAATGTATGCCATACATATATCTATTTGCATTATTCGAATATTGTTTTACATACCCATGTACATATCTAGAAGTAGCAAAGTTAATGAAATATTAAACTTGCATTCATTAAAAAACAAAAAGCCTGGACTTTGCCCCAAAGCCGAGTCAGTTAGTTAAATATTAACCTTATGGCTCAACTTATTTGCTGACTAAGCTCATAATGCTTTAAGCTTTTATGAAGCAACATTTTGTAGGTATCTAATGCACATCTGAAATATTTATGACGGTTGTAGTTAATGCTGCAGCAATATTACAATTGCCCTCTATAACTTTGAATTACACTATCCTATCAACGTTCCTTGACCCTGTACATACATGTAATTTTGGGTCGTTACGGTAGTTGAAAAGAAACAAAAAACAGAATAATAAATGTAAATGAACTGGTCTTTATTTGTTTTATTAATTTCCACACACATATGTATGTATGTATGTATATTTTATATTATTACTTGCTCTTAATCTGAAATTAAGTACAAATGTGGTATGTATTCATATACAGTATATGTATGTATGTTTTTAAATCTATAACTGTATTAATAAGCTCGTACACGAGTTCATTTTATGTGTATTGCATTAGTCGATGCAGTAATAAAAAGTTTAAGCTAATACGATTCGCACCAGCTGATAAGATTCTAATGGCGATGGTTATTATCGATATAACTTTTTAGAGATTTCTAAATAAACCGAGGTCTTTATTGCATTAAAAACATCCACACCTAATCGAATGTAAATGAAGTCTTGATTGGTACCTTCAGCGCTTAGCAGTAATTTTGCCAGCGATAAAGGTCGTCGCACGCACGCTTGTTGTTGTAATAACATAAAAACATGTGTTAAGAAATAAGCGATATGGTCCGTTCAAAGTTTACATTTACGCAAGCCTCCAATTCAGCCGAAAACATATTTAATTTTCTATTAAAATTGTTGAAAGTAACTCCAATTACCACTTTCAGAGAAATTGTTCTTGGACGACCCCGAACTGCAAGACGATTTGCCCATTTCACATATGTCACCTACAGAACTCTACGAGCACAGTGTACGCAAAGCAGTAATAATTGCTAGAAAGCTGCGCGAATTACGCGCGGAAGGCGAGGATGATATGGATACCTACACGTAAGTTACATAGACACTTTGAATATAAGCATAAATTTGTAATATACTTTTTCTTTACATCTACATTTGCAGTGCACTCTTTGGCGGTGCGCTAGGCTCTGCGCTCATCAAAGAAGGCAATCCAATGGTGTTGCATTTTGTGATGTTCGTACCCACAATAATGGGTCAAGGTACGGTTGAACAACAAATTGAATGGCTAGGTAAAGCTTGGGATTGTAATATACTCGGCACATATGCGCAGACTGAACTGGGGCATGGCACATTCTTGCGTGGGTTAGAAACACGCGCTGACTACGATGCTAGCACGCAGGAGTTTGTGTTAAATACGCCCACAATCAGTGCGTACAAGTGGTGGCCAGGTGGCAGTAAGTAACTATACTAATTTATGATGAAATTTCATCTATAACTACATTTTTTTAGTGGGTCACACGGCAAATCATGCCATAGTTGTTGCACAGCTCTACACCAAAGGCGAATTTCGTGGGCTAGCGCCCTTCATTGTACAGCTGCGTGACTTGGAGACACATATGCCGCTGCCTGGGATAGACGTAGGAGATATTGGCCCAAAAATCGGCATGAAGTCGGTCAATAATGGCTATCTAGGACTGAAGAACGTACGCATACCTCTAAATTATATGCTGATGAAGAACCAGCAAGTATTGCCTGATGGTACTTATGTAGCGCCAAAAAATAGTGTGCTCACATATGGTACCATGATGTTTGTGCGCTGCGCACTGATACGTGATCTGTCGCAAACGCTGGCGAAGGCGTCTACCATAGCGATGCGCTACTCGGCTGTGCGGCGACAAAGCCCCATTGATCCAAAGTGAGTTGGCAGTTGTAAGAAAGTTGTGCTACAAACCAAAAAAAAAATGCTTATTTTTCATTTCCAGTGAGCCTGAGCCGCAAATTATCGAACACACGACGCAACAATTAAAAGTTTTTCCACAGATCGCAAAGGCAATCGTCTTCAAAACAACTGGTGAGCACATTTGGAATATGTTTAATAATGTACAGGGCGAATTGGAACAAGGCAATATGGATCGACTGCCGGAAATGCATGCGCTCTCTTGCTGTCTGAAAGCCATCACCAGTGCAGACTCAGCGGCGGCGGTTGAAGTATGCCGCCTCTCATGCGGTGGTCATGGTTATATGGATTGCTCCAATTTTCCCACGATATACGGCATGACAACTGCTGTGTGTACATATGAGGGCGAGAATACGGTGATGTTGCTGCAGACAGCGCGTTATCTGGTTAAAGTATATGGGCAAGCGTTGAATGGCGAGCCATTGGTGCCGACGATGGAATACTTAAGAGAGTCTATTAAAACAAAGAACTTCTCAAATTTCGATTGTTCGTTGGAGAAGATTGTGAGCGCCTTCCAATTCGTGGCAGCGAAGTAAGTCAAATATTGCTAAATATTTTTTTTGCGTATTTCAACAAGTAACTGTACTTTGATAACAGCAAAGCTCGCATCGCTTACGAACGCATGGAGAAGTATCGTAAACAAGGCCATGAGCCGGAAGCGGCAGCGAATATGACTGGCATTGAGCTAACGCAAGCGGCGGATGTAAGTAAATAAAATCCAGAACAAATGGAGCCAAATACTTTAAAACAGAGAGACTCTCATATCTCAACACAAAAAAGGCGTATTAATTAATAAACCTTTTTTGTATCTCGTTCACAGCTGCATGGTCGTGCCTTCATTGCACAATCAGCATACATCGTTTTAAGTCAGCTCATACGCGAAGTCTCAACCGAGCTAGGCGCTGTATTGCAAACTATCTTGGAACTGTATTTGTTAGATGCTTGCTTGGGTCGTCTGGGCGACTTTTTGAGGGTGAGACCTTTGTTTTTATTCTCACATTTGCAGTTTGATAGTTTAAGCGTATTTTTTTATCCTGTATCAGTTCATCAACCTAACTGATGCCGATGTCGGCAAATTGGAGCTACATCTGCAGGAGTGTCTCAAACGCTTACGTCCAAATGCTGTAGCTTTGGTTGACAGTTTTGATGTGCACGATCGTGTGCTGGATTCGGCATTGGGCGCCGCGGATGGTCGCGTTTATGAGCGTATTTTCGAATCAGCCAAGAAAAATCCACTGAACCAAGAACCGGTGAATAAAACATTCCATCAATATTTGAAGCCATTCATGAAAGCCAATTTGTAGGGATATAAAAACACATACATATATACATTCATATGAGCAAGCATATTTACATACATAAATATTATGTATACGCATTCCTTGGAGCATTGTAAATATTTTTTTTTTAATTACTGCAAAAAATTTAGGTGCCTTAAATTTTTTATTAATTTTAAATATTGTATTATCGACAGCATTGTTATTTTTTAGCTTGATTTTAAATTAATTCTCATGCGAAATAAATATATTGTTAAGTACATTTTAATCAATTACAAATTTTTCAATTATTAAAAACAGTCGATATTAACTTTATGAGCCCATTGAAATATGAAATAAGAAGAATACCTCTAAATAACCACTGTCAATCTGATCTAACACCGTCAAATATATAGTACGAATATGCACCTACCGTTAAATAGCTGATCTGATAGCGAATATATCTGACCTACCTCAGCTGAATAACCAGTGAACTAAAACAAGTAGAAGAAGTGGTCGACAGTGAGGTTCCTGGCCAACCCGACGAAGTGCTACGTCGGACCCAAGCAATGTGAAACTACTTTAGGAACCAGCGAACCATGTAAGTTAAAATGCCACACTAATGAAATCGCGACTAATGTACAGAGCCGACACAAAGTCCTTAAAACGACCTCCTGCAAAACTTGAGACTGAAAGGTTTCCTATCAGGAAATATAATATCTCTACAAACTCACAGATCACGTCCAGAACTACACCCGAAAACGCCCAGATCTGACGGTGTACAGACAGGCGATATTTATCGAGAGCCACTCATCACATACGAGTTGGATCATGAGACCCGCTATTTGTAAGTTAAACACGCTACAAACGTTGTCCCCGTCGCGGATGCTCGAAGCTTGAGAGGAGAACTATTCAACTAAAGAAAAATCAGACGCCCCTCGGAACTTCACGGGGAAAGAAATGTCTACTCCTGTAAATTTTTAGATGGAATGACCCGATGATTAATTTCGCAGGAGATTAAAAATGTCTTGGGTATGCTGCCAACAGATTTGTTCCTAACGAGTTAAAATTTCCGAGAGAAACAATGCTTGTTTTCAAATTAAAAAATTAGAAAAATGTTTATGAAAATAGGCGCTTTCACCGCGTCATTAACTGAAGAAATTTGTGAGGTGCGCCACAGATGGATGTACCTACACTTTTACGCCGCAGAGTGTATTAAATATTTTCATTTTCTAGAGAATATTAATTCAATTATTTTATATCGCTAAGTTTCAAAACAACGTCAAAAATGCTTTTAGAAATGCCTGGTAATGACGAAACAATAACAACAAGAAAATTTACATCAAAGTGTATGGTGGGACAGGTTTTTATATGGAAGATTGCCAAGCACAATAATATTTAAACTGGTATGTATATTTGAAACTGAATTTCAATGTTTAAGTTGTTGGTGTTTTGTGGTGATTTATGCAACAATTGTTAAAGTACCATTTTGGTCTTATTTTTTTAGATATGTTCTTTTTAATGATAATACATTGTTGGGATTTTAGTAAACTAGGACTGAGTATTTCATGTTAAAGGAAAACCATGTTAACTTAAATTTAATTTTAGCAATTTATTAATTTCATTGGAAAGGCACACTCGTTAACCGCGTTTTAGTTAGTTAAATATTTCAGCTTTTGCCTTTTTAAAAATTACAGTTATATAATGGGTTGGCGAGGCAGTACCTCTAAATTTTTTGTAAAAAGCTTCGCCTACCTTATACCGGACCCTGTGCAAAATTTCATTAACCTATCTTCAACAGTTTTCGACTTACATAATTAAAAGCAGCTAGATTGGCCGAATCTTACACTGTGCGCGGCCTTCGAACGGTAAATAGATTTTTATGGGAAGCATTTTCATGGCAGAAATACACTCGGAGGTTTGCAATTGCCTGCCGAGGACTTACCATTGATTTTTGGTATTTTTTTCATGCAAAAAAATTTTTTTCGAAAATACTTTGTGTGGAAAAAATGCGAAACATCTTCAACAAAAAAGACGATTTTTTAGCAACTTTAAATTTGCATTTTTTATTAAGTGCAAGATTCAAGTGGCTAAGAAATCGCATTGATTTTTGATATTTTTTTTTTTGCTGACGGTGTCACGCATTTTCTACCATACAAAGTATGTTCGAAATTTTTTTTTTGTAAAAAATAAAATCATCCGCAAAAAGAGTTATCAAAAATCACCGCGAATTATTAGCCACTTGAAATGGGCAGAATTCTTGAGCTAGAATTTATTGGGCTATAAAAAGTTTGTTGTACAATTTTGTTGAATTTTTCTACAAAGTTAGAAAAAAGGAAGATTCCATCGCGAAATTGCATTTTAATGAACACTTAAAAAAATATACTAAAAAAATAAAAATAATCACTCGTGCTCATACATATTTCCATAGCCAGGTATGTAACGTATACACCCCGTAGCACCATTTTAGCACATGTTTACTCGCACGCCTTAACATAAAAGTCAGATTATTTAAAAGTAATTCAATATTGGCGTGGAATATTTTTCCTCAGTATTCTTCACGAATATATATATGTATATTAATTTCTTCATGTATATAACAATTTCAGAATGAATCTCGAGTGTGCCAATAAAAATTGTAAAATTTGATTTTTTTTTCGCAAATCATCGTCATCTTATAATCAATGTAATTTTTTGCCCCATTTGGTGACACACCAGTTTTATTACTCTAGATTGGTTCGATTTGGCAAGGAGAACATTTTCACCGTTTAATGTTAACATATTGAAATATCCTAAATTTTTAAAATGAAAAAATGCGTAAATTTCAAAAATTACAAAATAGCTGCGACAGATATTCTACTTGCTGGCATTTTTTTTAATCTGGTGGCACACTCTTGAAACTTCACAGATATGCTGTTTTCGATGCAAACTTTCATTGCCTCTAATAGGAACATTCTACTTGAATACTTCCCAAAGTTATTAAAAAAGAACAATTATGATTTTTTCGAGTGACAATGAAGAAATCAGTAATTTCGGTATTTTTGCGCCTAAATAAACGTTTTAAGGTTAAAATTGTTTTATTTTTTATTGTACTTGTTTTTGGAACTCAATTGATTGAAATAAATACAAGAAGAATGCTTTAGCATATTTTTTTTACCGAGAGAAGTGAATGACACTAAAAAAAAAACAACTTGTGAGATTTGCTCATATACGTACAAATTTACCTACATATCCTTGTACAACATATTAAAAAGTTCATTACGATTTTAGTGACATGAAAGCAATAACCTTTGCCTGCAGCGGTGCTTTGCCATTTTTATGCCATTTGTATAGTCAGCGAGGAAAGCCAAGTGTGCCCATGTCATCTTCATTACCTCAACTCACACACATACGCACAAATGAAATTTCTTTCTCTTGCACATAACAAGCAACAATCAACGCTCAATGGAGCTACATATATTACTTGTGTATGTAATTGCTGTCTAATTAATATCGTTTAGTGTCGGGTAATTATACTGTCAGTTTATGCGTAGCTATTATGTTTGTTCTTCTTGTTGCTTTAATTACAGTCATTTTCTAGCTGTTCGTATGAGGTTGGAAAAGCAAATTCATGTTGAGTCATCATATTCTGCCTTTATTTTCTGTTGTTTTTCTCTCTTTTTTATCTTTATGAAAAGAAAAAAATCCTTTCTATTTCACTTGTTCGTGATTCATTTTTTCCCTACCTTCGCTTATTTATTACGCCTTTACACATCAATTGAGTAACTACAGATCGATTTACTGTCATTT